AAGGACCTCAGTTCATCATTTGTACATAAAACTGCAGCTTTAAGCAGCCAAAGCCACCAAAGACTTGAATACTGTTTAAATGGCTGCTTAGTCACTACATATCCCAAGAGGGGGAAAAAACGGACCTTTTTTTTAAGCTGACCAAACATAAAATTTATTTGTTTAGAGGCTATTTTCTATATTTATTGTTGGGGAGGGCGGGGGGGAGAAAAGTCACTTTAAGGGCCTCTGCTAAGGAAAAACAAGTGCATTTTTTTGGATGGAATGCAATTTTCTAGAACGGTATTATGCTGAAGAGTCTAACGTACATGATTCAAGGAGGGAGGGGGCGAGAGGGACCAGTACAAATCAGCGAGACATACTCCTGCAGTTTATTTTTATAAAGCCAACTACCATGATGTTTTGTAATTTTTGGTCATGATTTCACCATTGTTGGTGAAGCAGATTTTCAATATATGTTATCTATATGAAGCTCAACCAATATGCTCCATGGCTTTTCTTTCCACTGCCTGTCATAGGTAGGAAGTTGTTGAGTAGAGAAAACTTTCCTGTCTCCCGCTCTTTCCCCCATATCTTTATCCCGAAGAGCAGCATCCCAAGCTGGAATCTTTCTTTGGAGCATTAATGGGGCAGTTGTACACACAGTGCTCACCCTGAGTGAGCGCAGAGCTTTGAACACCTTCAAAACTGCAGAAGCAGCTGATGAGAAAGCTCCTGAAGGGCAGCTCGGTGATGAGTTGTATGAGAAGCTGACGTGTGGGTGGTAGCTCACAGCATAGTGTGGTGTGTCACAAAGCCAAAAACCCCATCTCCTCTGGTTTGTCCCACTTGCAAGCCTGTGAGTTGTTACGGGCTTGAGTAAGGACAGAGGCACAAGTTGCCCCTGACTGTGGTGTCGGTTAATGTTGTCATTGAAATGGCTTCTCTCTTCTATAGCAAAGCTGCAAGCTTTTCCCTGACAGGAGCTTTTCTCACCGCTCCAAATAAGAGAACCTGTTCCCAGGAGGAGCAGGGAGGTCTCTTGGTGGACAGGAGTGGTGCCTGGGCAGGGAAGCAGTCTGGAGCAGTGAACAGTCCCGGTGAGCTCTTGGGCAGCTCGCTGGCTCCCACACAGTCCAGGGCATGGCTGGAGAGGGAGGATGTGCCAGGGACAGCCCATGGTTGGTCTGGCTGCATCTGCCCTCTTCAGGGCTTACCATCATGGATGGTGGTGGTGGCCCTTGGGAAGGACATTGCAGGAGAGAACGTTTCTCCATGCAGCCTGGGCAAACCTTCCAAGATGTGGCCGTGGGTAGGGTTTTGCAGTGCACAAGTGTCCTGTCAAAAGGATTTGGACAAACCCATTTTCCCTTAGCAGGAGTGCAGTTGGCTTTTCCCAGCCTGCCTCTCCCCTTCCAAAGATGAGGATGCACTGGAGGAGGCGACGTCCTGTTGTGGTGTCGGAGAAGGGACTGAGCTTTAACTTGGGAGCCATTAGCATAAGCTCGTTGGGGCTGAGGAGATGGTCCCAAGGTCGGGCTGTATGTGCCATCCCAGAGGGGCTGGGGCCAGAGGTGCCCTTTGCTCCTCCCTCTCCGAACACACACCCACGCCAATGGGGAGGGAATTTTGTCCATCTCACCTGTGACATTGAGATCTCTCGTAAGGCCAATGTGCAACAGCTCTGCAACTCATACTGTTTATGAAAGAGCCATCAGTAAAGGTGTCAAATCTCAAGGGCTGGACCTGCAGAAGTGACTGCAGGTAGCAAAGCGTCATTGTAGTCAGTCTTTTCCTTTGTCCGAAACAAGGATGGTCTGTTTGCAGCTTTGTACCTTCAACTGTCTTCAAATGAAGGCAGCAGTGTGGAAAACAAGATTGTTGGCTCTATTTCCACCAAAAAGAGGGGAGGAAGGCACCTGCTGAGGCAACACAGCAGTGGGTGAAGCTGCCAACCCACAGAGACCCTCTGGTTACAGCTCACAACCTCGGGGCTGGAGCACCCAGATAAATAGGAGAAATGGGGGGAAAAATAGGAGTGAGGGAGCCCAGAGCTCCTGCAGAGAAACCACCCGGCACTGCTGTGGGAGTGGGGCTGTGTCCCTTTGATTTGAGGATCTCCTGTTGGAGGGAGCCTGGAAAACTTTGGTGTGGGTGCTAATGAGGAGGCTCACGCCTCTCGTCGCAGCGCTAATGAGAGATTACAGCTCCTCCCCAGCCTTGAAACCAGAGTCAAGCTGTATCAAAGCGCCAGTCCGAATTAAGAACCTTTTCCAGTGGCTGGTATTTTACAGCCCAGTGGCCAATTTCTAAATCGTGGAGGCCCCAATTATTTCCGAAGCCTTTGGTGTGCAGCTAATGAAGGCCTGGAAGGGCCCTTTCAAATGGTTCTAAGCCCCGTAGATGGCAGAGATGTAATGGAGGTGGCAGGCACAATTAGCCATCCCTAATTCCTCCTAGCAGCTGATTAAAGTCTCTTTATCCGTCTTACCGAGATCAGAAGGGCACATATTTGGGAAATCAAAAATGCATTAGGGGCTGTCAGGCAGCGGCGGGGTCTGTGTGCTGAGCCCCGGGGTGGTGGCGCAGAGCTGCTGCGTGTACCCCCAGGTAGGGGATGGACCCTCATCCTTGTGGGGTGCAGTGTCCTCCAGGCAGGTCCCCTGCACCATCAGTCACCCCATCCTCTTAGCCTGGCACCCCCTTTTACTACATGGGGATGGGATGTGATGGGATGGGATGGGATGGGATGGGATGGGAATGGGATGGCTGCAGGAGCACCCCAATGGGCTGTGAACCGCTGCAGCGATGCTGAGGGCTGCCTGGCTGTATCTGCACCCCAGTGCTGGAGCATTCACCAGCCCAACGGGCCAAAGGGTCCTCGCCACAGCCCCACAGCCAATGTCCCTCACCCTCCCTGCTCTGGGATTCCCCTTCTGCTCTGCCCTGGTGAGGCCACA